ATAAAAATAAAATATGATATACAATCACAGGGAAATAAGCTTGCTAAATATACCAGGTAAAATGTACGGCAGAGACATTACTGAAAGAATTAAAGATAACACAAACACAAAAAGAGAGGATTGCAGAGAAACGTGGAGGATTTAGGAAGTGTAGGAGATGTGTTGAAGCATGTGAGGTACGGAACTTTTACGCATTGTTGGGTTTAGTAAAGGTATACGAGCATGATAGAGTGGATAGTGGATCAATGTTGCATATGTTGCAAATGTATGAAATAGGTGGTAAGTTGCTAGAAGGAGTGTAAAGAGTTTTTTTTTGAGAATAGGCTCAAGTTAGGGTATGTAGGAGCGAAGGGGTATTATTTTCTCACTTAAAATGGGCCTTAGACAGGGATGAGTAGTGGCACCATGGTTGTTCAACATACAGATGGGGTCGTGAGAGATGTGAACTCCTTTGATGAGGTTCGAGTCTTTCTAGTCCTGTAGCCCGGTCATGGGCCAGGCTCGGATGTGGGATTAAAAGATCACGAATTTTATACGAAGTGGGAGTTGCCACGGTTTATCTTTGCAGATAACACTTTTTTTTAAGGGGATTTTGAAGAGAAGTTGCAAAGGTTGGAGGATTAATTTGGGAGGGGATGAAAAGAACGAAATTAACTGAACATAGGAAAGGACAAGGTGATGAGAGTAATAAAAAATTAGGCAATGGGAGATGGGACGTCAGCTTGGAGGGTGAATAAACTAAATATCTTAATATATCTGAGAATTGATTCGTCGGCAAACAGGTTTATGAAAGACGAGGTGAACCACAGAACTGACAAGAGGAACAAGATAGGTGGTGCACTGAGGCATATAATTCATGAAGGCAGAAGGGGTAATGTACCAAATCCACCACTATTATATGGGTGTGAACCATGACTTTTAAATGTTGAATACGGTATATGATCTCGACAAATTGATGAATAAGACACAAGTGCAACAGTCTAACTCGGATAGGCTTCAAATCTTCAACCGGAATATTTAAAACGGCATTAGAGGCTTGTGCTGAACGTTCTCTTCCACAGCGTACAATAAGGTGCAAACGGCTGGGTTTATGGGATATAGGGATACCTTTCTCGGATCTCACAGCGCCCAAAACATGGGATACAGGGATACCTTTCTCGGATCTCACAGCGCCCAAAACATGGCATACAGGGATACCTTTCTCGGATCTCACAGCGGCCCAAAACATGGATACAGGGATAACTTTCTCGGATCTCACAGCGCCCAAAACATGGGATACAGGGATACCTTTCTCGGATCTCACAGCGCCCAAAACATGGGATACAGGGATACCTTTCTCGGATCTCACAGCGCCCAAAACATGGGATACAGGGATACCTTTCTCGGATCTCACAGCGCCCAAAACATGGCATACAGGGATACCTTTCTCGGATCTCACAGCGCCCAAAACTGGGATACAGGGATACCTTTCTCGGATCTCACAGCGCCCCCCAAAAAATGGATACAGGGATACCTTTCTCGGATCTCACAGCGCCCAAAACATGGGATACAGGGTTACCTTTCTCGGATCTCACACGCCCAAAACATGGCATACAGGGATCCTTCTCGGATCAAAAGCGCCAAAACATGGCATACAGGGATACCTTTCTCGGATCTCACAGCGCCCAAAAATGGATACAGGATACCTTTCTCGGATCTCACAGCGCCCAAAACATGGCATACGGGATAAACCCTTTTTCGGATCTCACAGCGCCCCAAAAAATGGGATACAGGGATACCTTTCTCGGATCTCACAGCGCCCAAAAAATGGCATACAGGGGTACCTTTCTCGGATCTCACGCGCCCAAAACATGGCCTACAGGGATACCTTTCCGGATCTCACAGCGCCCCAAAAAATGGGATAACAGGGATACCTTTCTCGGATCTCACAGCGCCCAAAACATGGCATACAGGGTACCTTTCTCGGATTTTCACAGCGCCCAAAACATGGCATACAGGGATACCTTTCTCGGATTCACAAGCGCCCAAAACATGGCATACAGGGATACCTTTCTCGGATCTCACAGCGCCCAAAACATGGCATACAGGGATACCTTTTTCGGGTCTCACAGCGCCCAAACATGGCATACAGGGATACCTTTCTCGGATCTCACAGCGCCCAAAACATGGCATACAGGGATACCTTTCTCGGATCTCACGCGCCCAAAACATGGGTACAGGGATTACCTTTCTCGGATCTCTCAGCGCCCAAAACATGGCATACAGGGATACCTTTCTCGGATCTCACAGCGCCCAAAAACATGCATACAGGGATACCTTTCTCGGAAACTCACAGCGCCCCAAAAAATGGCATACAGGGATACCTTTCTCGGATCTCACACGGCCCAAAACATGGGATACAGGGATACCTTTCTCGGGTCTCACAGCGCCCAAAAAAATGGCATACAGGGATACCTTTCTCGGATCTCACAGCGCCCAAAACATGGCTACAGGGATAAACCCTTTCTCGGGGATCTCACAGCGCCCAAAACATGGGATACAGGGATACCTTTCCCCGGGTCTCACAGCGCCCAAAACATGGGATACAGGGGTACCTTTCTCGGATCTCACAGCGCCCAAAACATGGGATACGGGATACCTTTCTCGGATCTCACAGCGCCCAAAACATGGCATACAGGGATACCTTTCTCGGATCTCACAGCGCCCAAAACATGGCATACAGGGATACCTTTCTCGGATCTCACAGCGCCCAAAACATGGCATACAGGGATACCTTTCTCGGATCTCACAGCGCCCAAAAAAATGGCATACAGGGATACTTTCTCGGAAAACTCACAGCGCCAAAACATGGATACAGGGATAAACCCTTTTTCGGATCTCACAGCGCCCAAAACATGCTACAGGGATACCTTTCTCGGATCTCACAGCGCCCAAAACATGGGATCAGGGATACCTTTCTCGGATCTCACAGCGCCCCAAAACATGGGCCCTTAAGGGATACCTTTCTCGGATCTCACAGCGCCCAAACATGGGATACAGGGATACCTTTTTCGGATCTCACAGCGCCAAAAAAATGGCTTACAGGGATACCTTTCTTTGGGTCTCACAAACGCCCAAAACATGGCATACAGGGATACCTTTCTCGGATCTCACAGCGCCCAAAACATGGCATACAGGGATACCTTTCTCGGATCTCACAGCGCCCAAAACATGGCATACAGGGATACTTTCTCGGATCTCACAGCGCCCAAAAACATGGCATACAGGGATACCTTTCTCGGATCTCACAGCGCCCAAAACATGGCATACAGGGATACCTTTCTCGGATCTCACAGCGCCCAAAACATGGGATACAGGGATACCTTTCTCGGATCTCACAGCGCCCAAAACATGGCATACAGGGATACCTTTCTCGGATCTCACAGCGCCCAAACATGGGGTACAGGGATACCTTTCTCGGATCTCACAGCGCCCAAACATGGGATACAGGGATACCTTTCTCGGATCTCACAGCGCCCAAAACATGGCATCAGGGATTTCCTTTCTCGGATCTCACAGCGCCCAAAACATGGCATACAGGGATACCTTTCTCGGATCTCACAGCGCCCAAAACATGGCATACAGGGATACCTTTCTCGGATCTCACAGCGCCCAAAACATGGCATACAGGGATACCTTTCTCGGATCTCACAGCGCCCAAAACATGGCATACAGGGATACCTTTCTCGGATCTCACAGCGCCCCAAAACATGGATACAGGGATACCTTTCTCGGATCTCACAGCGCCCAAAACCATGGCATACAGGGATACCTTTCTCGGATCTCACAGCGCCCAAAACATGGCATACAGGGATACCTTTCTCGGATCTCACAGCGCCCAAAACATGGCATACAGGGATACCTTTCTCGGATCTCACAGCGCCCAAAACATGGCATTTCCCGGGATACCTTTCTCGGATCTCACAGCGCCCAAAACATGGCATACAGGGATCCTTTCTCGGATCTACACAGCGCCCAAAACATGGCATACAGGGATACCTTTCTCGGATCTCACAGCGCCCAAAACATGGCATACAGGGATACCTTTCTCGGATCTCACAGCGCCCAAAACATGGCATACAGGGATACCTTTCTCGGATCTCACAGCGCCCAAAAGCAACATGGCATACAGGGATACCTTTCTCGGATCTCACAGCGCCCAAAACATGGCATACAGGGATACCTTTCTCGGATCTCACAGCGCCCAAAACAAACTTAGTTTATCGTGCACTCAGTGAAATATTAAAACTTACGACAAATTTCCTATTTTACTCGTTTAAGGAACTTCATTAAATATAACAGTGTTTCAACCTGACTCATCTTGCGTAGAGCAAGAACATACAGGTGCACGTAGGCCTAGGAACTAGGCCTAAAACAAAAAGTTACCAGAAGTGTATTTGAATATCAAGTCTATTTGAATAAAGATACACATGCAACACCTGTGTATCTTTATTTGTAAAAAGAAAACACAGGTTGGCGAAACATCTTCCAATAAGATAGACAGGTGTTACACGTGTGTGTCAATTCCTCATCATATCTGGGTATGTATTAAAAAGTAATCCCGTCATAAACAGGTGTTAACGGTTAGTTAACATCTGTAAAGTTAACAACTGCAGGTTAACACTGGGTTAACACAGTAATCGGATTCGCTTAACTAATAAAGATAAAAGTTGGGAAGTGGGGCCAAGAACTGTGGCTCAACCTCTGCAAATACAACCTGATCCGCACTACGTTATTACTAGAGCACAACAAGGTGAGTAAAATAAAACGAGTACAACTTGGCGAGTAAGGACAAACAAGCGAGTGATTACAAGTAGGCGAGTACAAGTGAGTGGGTACAACTAGGAGAGTGACTACAACTAGGTCAGCGAGGGCAACTAGGTGATTAAGTACGGCTTTGTAAGTACAATTTTGTGAGTACAGGTAAGTGAGAACTTCAGTCACACTGAGCTATCACCTACCTGGAGTTTGTATCCTCTGGCGTAGTCCTCGTACGTCCAGCCGAAGCCGTGCAGCACCTGCAGCACGTCTTCGTGGGTGAGCACGGCGAAGAGTCGGTCGAGTAGTATCTTGAGGCGTATGGGCAGCGCCTGGCACCCATACAGGATGAGGGATGCGATGTCCAGCACGAGGGATGGCTTCGCTAGTTCCAGCCCGGCTTCCTTTTCTCTGCTGCCCCTGATGTCGGGCACCATGCCCACGCCCGAACCCACGGTCGAGTCCCTCAGGCCCACGCCCCCAGTTCCAACGCCCAGGCGATCGTTGCTCATGGACAGGGCGGCACCCAAGCTGGCACTCAGACCACCAAAGGTGCCACCCAGGCCGCCGCCAAACATGCTTCGGAAGCCCAAGTTTTCCAGAG